GTCCGGGCGTAAGATGCCGCCAAGATCCCAGGAGCACCTGGTATTCCTGGTTCGGCTCACGGTTTCTCTCCAGGACTACCCCCCACTCGCTCGTCCCCAAACCCCCGGTTTATATAACGTCGCGCATCCCTACCCCTATCCCTACGCATCGCCGGGGGTCCCTAAATTTTCTCGAAGTCTATAAGGGTTAAGGAATTAACCGCTGCTGGCCGAGCCGACCGTTCGGGCCTACGAGCTTCTGATACGTCGGGGTGGTTGCCTTCGGGGCTTAATAACCGGGGTGAGGATCCTTGGAACGAGGGGGACGCCGGTAGAAGGATCTTCGCCAAAAGGCCATTACAAGGATTTCTTTTATTTACGGTCGCGAAAGGAGCTCCTCCGCCGAGCGGGCTAAGTGGTATGATCTCCTCTCCTTAGGCTCTATACTCCCGCGATAGATCTTGGCCAATGACCGACTAAGCGTCCACTCTCCGAGGCTTAATACGCTTAATACTTCTCTCTCTCTCTCTCTTTCCTATTTTTTCCCCACCCTTGTAGTCGTGTAACATTTAGCTGTAGATCAATTAAGACGTCGACGCTGAGTCAGGAATCACGATTTCTGGCTCTTAAAAATACGTAGTTTACTTTCATCGAATTCTCTTTCTCTCTGAAAGTCAGTTCTCGTCAGTTCAATATATTAATCTCGTCAGCTCTCGTCAGTTCAATATATTAATTTCATTATTATGTAATCTGCATCAAATTTAAAATACGAGATAGTTTTTTTTGTTTAAATCTTGGAGAAACTAAAATTATAAGTTTTTTTTTGCAAAATACATTCTTCAGATTTTTCAGAGAATAAGCATAAATTAGATGAAAATATAATTCTACAATTTAGAAAGTAAACTATTATTATTATAGCTTACTAACTTTTATTATTTTACATAAACTGTAATTTAGTTAAATTCTAATAAAATCGCTCTAATTATTTGAACACTCTTAATTAATTAGATCAATAATTGACTCGATATTACACAATGTGTTTTATATCTCGTAAAGAAAAAGAAACGTTTGCGTTTCGGTGAAGTATTATTCTTTCTTCACACGTGGTCGCGACGTCAGGGTCGGCGCTGATAAATTAACGGGATTAATTATCTCCGACTATCGGATTACTTGCAATGGAGAATACGGCCTACTCCCTGGATGATTTTCCCTCTACGGCTCATTACTTTCAATCGTTGGCCTTCAGTCGGTCGTCCTCTTCTTCGCTACTCGTAATTTTTAGTATAGCCGCCCCCGTGCAAGCGTGGGGGAGGGTGGGATTAAAGAATAAGAAGGGGAAACCGGAGTTCGTTTATATGACCTCATCAGCTACCCTCGGGAAAGAGAAGAATAAGTGAGAGACAGAGAGAGAGAAAGAAGAAGGTATAGTAAGAGAAAAAGAAAGGGAGAGAGAAATGAGAGCAGGACAAGAAGATGGAGTCGCCAACCGTAGCATCCCTCAAGGATTATGAGGCCAATCCTGCGGCTAATTTGCGAGCTCTCGAATTCTCAAACCCCACCGCTATTTCTTGACTTTATCCAAACTGCTTTCTCTCTCTCTGATTTCCCTTCTAACCATTTTAACCGTTGTTTCTTTTGCCTATCTCTCGGAAAAAAGTTATTATATTTATATCTTTAGTGACAATTCATTCGCACTCTCTTTCTCTCTATCTCTTTCTCTAATTTTCTATTTTTCAAATTTCACATTATTAGCAGATATAGATTATTTTCAGAAAATTTGTATTTGTATTTATATTCGCAATGTTTTCAAAAATTTTATAGCTACTATAAATCTTATTTATGCATTATAAATTTATATTGTAACCTATTAAAGTTTCATTTGTGAATCACGACTTAAGCTATATTTCAAGATATGTATAAGGAATAAATTACCACGTCTTATTGGCATTTATAGTCTGCGTATTTTAACAACTTTATTTTTTTAGAAAAAGTTACTCTTCGAAATACCGTTCACTTTTGCCCGACGAGTGGATGAATATGAAATGAATAATTAATGAGAACGATGCTATACGTGACTAGTTCGCTACGCACTTTCGTTACAATCTGATTCAGCGGCGCAGAGCACATTTTCGGTTCTTATCAATATATAATCGCATCCAACAATCAAACCATCCTGGCCAACATTATCTATGGCGAAACGTCCGGCAGCCGTATGGAAATGAAATAGTTAGGCATATCCTAGCTGTGGCTGATAGCAGAACCGCCCAGCTTCCTTTCTCCTTTCATCTCTCTCCATCTTTCTCTCTTCCCTTTTGCTACCTATAACTTCCTCTTTGGCTTTTCCTCTCTCTCTCTCTCTCTCTCTCTCTCTCTCTCTCTCTTTCTCCTCTACAAGCTCTCCTCCGTTATTATTCAGGAACTTTGCTGACAGCTCCCCGGATAGGCAGATAAGAACGTCCTCTGAATGCCAAAGCACACACAATACTCCTTTGGAACGGCGTATACCTACGTCTCGCGGATACTTTTCGTGTGCCACGATCGCACGGGAATGTCTAGCGAGTGTTGTGATCCTAAATTCTCTTCGATCGTTCGCAATTTGTCGGATGCCATCGCTCGACATCGCGTAGCTTGCACATCCTGGATTTATTCCCCTATCTGTCATTTATGAAATTGCGCATTGCATGTATATTTATTCGATATATTTCGCATTTCTTAATTAAATCGAAAGAGAGCTTTTCTCGAAATTATCTATATATATTTCTACAATTAATTTATAGTGATATCTCTCAAATTTTAATTAATTTTTGTATTAATTAGTGTCGTTAATGAAATAAATATGTATTGCATTAATATGTTATTGAGAATAAACACGCGCAAGCACGGAATTACACATATGATATTTCGTAAAAAAATGTTATTATACGTATGAGAAGAGGAAGCCAATCTCAGTCGAACCGGTCATTTTTCATAACGATTTAATGCGGATGGTGCGGTTTAAATTGTCTGCGCGCGACTTGACAAATTAAGATCAGATATAGAGATGATCCTTCGGGCTGCTGACTTTCAGATTTTCATAAGACGTTCCTCCCCCTTACTCTATCTCCCTGTTCCTTCTTGATTCTTCACACTCTTCGGCCCAGCAGCAATTTTCTTATCCGATCGACCAATCTTTCTTTTTCATTTTCTTCGAAATGAGGAAACTCAATAGTCGTAACTAAGAAACGAAATTTCAAGAAACGGTAACGATAATGAATCGACGCTCGACTGTGCAATTTTGTATGAAACTCGATTAGTAAAATTACTGAAAAATACTTGCAAGTTTAAAATAATCGAAGAGAACATTGTTTATAAATGTTATGTAAAATGTTGTAATTCTAGATTTGTTAAGAAATAACATTTTTAATATTACTTTGTGCATAAAAATTTTAATTAAAAATGATTTCATTAATATTTGAAACAAGTGTCTGTTTTAGACAGATTGTTCTTTAATAATATGCTTTTAGTAATTTTTTAGTATCTTTTAGTCGAGAGTGGCTAATATTATGACTAGCCTGTTATCGTTATTTTTAATAGACTGCTAATGATGTAACTTAAATCCGCTCACCTTTGCTCATGAATTGCGTTTTGCCCGATGACGTAGCGGAATCTGCACTCGCGGATTTCGACAGCATTCGAAACAAGTTCCGTAAATCCTTGCCCGCCTCTCGGAAAGCGAAGTTCGATAACGATAACGAGAGAGGGATAACGGTAGGACGGTACCTGTATAGCGCGGGGATAAGAAGAGGCTGCGCTGCTGCGGCAAAGTCTAGATTCGATGTTTTGCGAATGAGCGCCGACCCGGATAGATCCTTGTAAGACGTTTTAATTGGACAAATCCGCCTATCCTCATTAAATCCGGGACGACCCCGCGAGCGCGGCGGGCCCACCAGGACGACGATCCTGGTGTGCGTGTCGTAGATGACGATATCCCCCTCTCGGCATCATCTTTGCACATTGCTACGTACTTAAACGCCAAGAGTCTTCTATCTTGCGATGTAGCTGAGTAACTCGTCTCGAAAATCCGTATCGCTACAAGGATCCCGCCTTAATCGTCTTGTTCTTTGCAAATCTACTAGTGGAAGAGCGTCCTTAAATCCTGCGGTTTATTGAAAAAATATGCAATCAATAAAAAGGAACTCTGGTACAGAATATACGTATTTTCTGCTATTTCTGACGAAGAAAAATAAATTGATAAAAATATAATAGAAAATGTTGAATAAAAATGTTCTTTTGGGAGAGATAGATATTTTTTTTATATTACGTATACAATTATGCTTCCATTTCATTTGTTGTTAAATCTCTTCATCGTGCCTTGTCACCGTCGTATCGTCCTGAAATTCTCGCGAGTGATGCGAACGCGAGTAGATAGATAGCATAACGTCGCTTTTAGAGAAAGACTCATTGACTATTGTGACGTTTGAGTTAGGGTTGACTCGATGACAGCTCGGCTGTCTTATCTTAGCTGCGAGATTTCGGTCGGGGCGGTTGCTTTGTGCATTCGTAGACTTGGAGACAGTATCTCACGTTTGTATGCACGCGCATGTGAACGTTTACATCGTTCGTTTACACATATATACGTATCGCGAGTTCTACGAGAAGACTCGTGAAACTCGCCATTCACCGATTTATTGTACTCGTCCCTTGCAAGACAAACAAACGAATGAATACGGTATCATAAAGCTCCTGTTTTTCGATCTTCTCGAGACAACCCCAAGAAAACTGCAAAATCGATGGCAAATCTTTGAAAAATAAATTCGTTGCAATTTTTCATTGATGAAATAATAAAATGAAATAACCTTGCTCAGTCAACCCTTAAATATTTTAACACGCGATGGATATTTATTTTCAACATTATCTATATCGAGAAGTATAATTGATATATAAATTAAAATATATAAATGAACTATAAATATGTCATCATCCTGGAGGTAGCATTTGCCTCAAAATATGTTTTGCCAATTTGGCAAAGCAAGGGAGAAATGTTCAGTTATATATATTTTCCGTTGACGTATATTTTTTATTCGACATCATCTCGTATTTACATTCATGAAAGTTCATAATAATTATATTAATTGTTACGTGATAATTACAATGAATGAGCTGCGGCCGGTAAGCGTTAAGGACGCAGCTTGTCAACGATAGTAAGGAGTAACAGGTCGATTAACGATTTCGGCGCGTTATTTCAGCGCGTCCGTTGTTTGCTTTACGCGCTTCTGTCCCTCTAATTATTTTAAGGAAATTAACTAATCTGCGTGATATGGATGCTGTTGCGGCGACTCGCCCTCGAAGAGAGCCATCTTCAGCCGCTTGTTCTTGGCCCTACGGTTCTTGAACCAGAATTGCACGTTCTTCGGCTCCAGACGCGGAAACTTCTGGCGATACGGCATCTTGTTCAGCTCCTCCGTGTACGACAGAATGAGCTATGGACCGATCGTAAAATCTTTCTCAGCACATCTCTCCAAGAGAGCTAGATTTCTGAGTCATACATCAGCATTTACACGATGACGGAATTATTTAAGAAAATTTAAACTCACGTGAAACATTTGTATTAATGTTGTCTAATTTTACGTCGTGATAATTTTAAAAAATGTTTAAAAAATTACAAGAGTAAAACAGAATTCGCTTTTGCGTGTAATATTTTTTTTCTCTTCCTACTTCTATAAAATTAAATATTTTATGCTGCAAGAGAGTAACTATGAGCGCACGAGATTGTGCTCTATTAATCCAACAGAAGTTTCTGGCCGTTAATAAGCGCGTTAATATTGTTAGGAGGGACAAATTAGCGCGATAACGACACAGGGTGATTTATACATACCGCATGGCTCGGGTGTGTGCTGCGCTTGAACCAATACTCGAGCCTCGGCACTTCCGTCACAGGATCGATGAACGTCCGGTTTCTCTTCCTCCTCTCGTCGGCCAACATGCTAGTGGGACAGCCGGCTGGCCCGCGCGGCGGCAGATAATGCGACATGTACATAATACCGTGGCCGAACATGGGGCTCGGCACCAGGGAGAATCCCGGCGGGATCGGGCCTGTGTGCCTCGTCTCGTCGTCCTCGGAACCGGACGATACCCTCGCGTCCTCCTGCTTCACCGAGGAGGGGGTCGACGTCGGTGGCTGTTGCTGATCCTCGGGTCTCGTCGTCAACGACAGAGGACCGACAGGTGGGCTGCTCGGTGGACAAGGTGATCCGGACGTCGACTGAAAGCATCGATTAGAAAATCTCAACTCTTTGGAATTCTCAAGATGTAGAGTTTGTTTCACTTCATATGATGATCTTAGAATTCAAAATGTCTGACAAGTTTCAATTTTTATTCTTCGCTGTTTTTCTCCGTCGAGGAACATTTTTTTAAAGCTTCGAAATATTCAATTTTTAATGCTTTTGTTATTAAAATGTCATTTTCAATCTTTTCTTATCTCATTCAAGGAAGAGCATGTACCTGCTGCCTGGTGTCCTCCTCCTCGTCCGTGCAATCCTCGCTGACGAGGCTAGCGCCTCTGGGACTGAGTCCAGGTGGGCTGCAGCCGTTCATGCTGGCTCTCTTTTGCGCCGCGCGTGCGTTTTTGAACCAGTAGACGACGTTGTTCGCGTCCAGCGGTTTCCTGCCTCGTCGCGACTCCAGAGAGTTCAGTTCCGCGACGTAGTGCTGTATCTGTTCGCGCGAGGGATGCTGATTCTCGGCGAACCAACGTTGGAGACGCGGCAGTTCGAGCTCCGAGTCGAAGCTGGTCCTCATCCTGGTCTTGTGCGAATACTGGAGCAGAGCCGGATGCGGCGGTCCGATCGAGCCGCCGCCGCCACCGGGCGCTATCGTGGTCCCGCTGTCGGGTTGGGGACTCTGCGTGTGATGATGATGATGATGGTGATGGTTAGAAGACGGCGCCAGCGGATTTATGCCGAGACCTATCTGTTGCTGCTGCAGCCACGTTTCGAAATTCCTCTTTGTCTCCTCCGACAGGTCGTTGCCGCCTCTGCAGAGGGACAGCAGAGTCATCTGCAAGGGAACCAATGTGTTTTGTTTTTTTTTTTCAAAATCTTGCTCTCCTAGATTGCTGCCGATTTATATCCGATCGTTTAATCGCATCGATAATGCATTTCGCAAAAAAATATAAAACTGACAGATGACGTGCTCTAAATCTCATCTCGTTTTTTCATTATAATACTTTTCTATATCTTATAGAGAATATTTAAAAACAATCTTTATTATAGGATAATTAGAGGATTATCGAAGAAATAATCAAGCACAATAATTTTTTTTGTCTTTTGTATTGTATTTTATATTATCTTTAGGCGATTGATAACTCGCAACAAAATTCAAAACAAGATTCTATTTATAATTATATGTATTACATGTTCTAATAAATATATGTGTAATATATTTAATTCATACGCATTTTCCTATATTATATGACATAAAATTTATAAATAGAATCTTGTCATGTGAATTTCGTCGCAAATTACAGATTGTCTAAAGAAGTCTTAAGATAACAAGAAAAGGAGAGGGGAAAAACGCGAGTACTATAAATCGGAGCAAAATTCCCGCCGGAACAGATTTATTGCACGAATTTAAATTCGTTCTCTTGACGATCGATTTATCCGGTCGGTTGTTGACGCAAAACAGGCGCCGCCGTCGTCGTTAACGTCACTTTCGTCGCCATCATCGTCACGGCATTAAGATGACAGATTATGGAAAAGTTTCGCGCCTCAGGAAGCAGTGCGCGCGCCTTATCTGGCCGATGATTTATAAGAACAAATATCTCCGGGCTCGAGGATCAGGCGCATGACGCCACCTTAATAACGCGGTAATCCGTAATGTATCCGTAGCATCTCTTGACAGTGTCAGATACCATCAAGACAAGACAATTATCCGTCCGCCACGACGGCATCTCGCGCGAGCGAAGGAGAGAGAGAGTCTCCTCGAATTCTCATCCTTTTACGACACCGCACTTAATCACTCCAGGTAGGCAGGTCTAAGGCGCGAGTCTGACAGGCGTTCGCGAGATTTCAGAAATCGTTCGACAAACAGTGGTACGCACCGTCGACCGGCTTATCTGACGACGTTGCGCCATGCGATATTCGAGCCTGATTTACACTGTATTTATTATTCAAGAGTCATTGCGCACGCACACAAGGCAATCGGCTGATCCGTAGAACAGTGGTAAATCAATCGCGATCATGGGACCGCGATCAAACAATTTGCGAGATTGTAACGAATTCGTGAAACGTATATCAGGGAGGTATTTTACCGATATCTTTTATGAATATTTTTTCCGTAGAAAAAAAATTAGCATTATAAAAATATAATTGAATGAAAATTCGTTTTTTACCCCATTCCTATTTTTTTAATCAAACTATAATTGCCTCAACTTCTTCATACGTAAAATCTTAATAAGAATATATTAATATACCTATTGTAATATTCTCATAATTGCAACGCTGACTTTAATTTATAGACTGAAAGATATAAATGCTCGCGATCGAGTAAATTATTTAAGTAAACTCTCTTTGAGCATTTTAGTATTCTACGTTATATATATTTATATAAAAATGGAAACCAGATTTCGGGATATATATGTAGAACAATTTTGTAAAAATATATAGTAGATAAATCATATGTGTGCGTCGCTGTGGCGCTATAAATATGGTTAAGCCCTAATCCTGATATATCAGGCGACGTCTGTTACATCACTGTTCTACATTTCAAGCTAAATAGGATCCAAAATAGATTTCGCTGCTTTTTATTGTCTGAAACTGTGTTGACACCGATGATTTATGCTCGCCGATTCCAATTAATGCGAATTTCACGTCCCCGGGCCCCTTGAAAAGTATTTATTACCATTTCGAAACCTTCCATTATCCCGAAAGAAATATGAGCGTATTTTTCACAAAATCGTGTGTACTTTAATGCTACTCGCTTATATATTTCTCTTGCATATTTAAATTTCTAATCGCTCTCCAATGAAAGGCAACATTTTGATGTATCCAGATATACCGAACGTCACAAATCGTGCACTTTATCTGGCTCACAAACACTAGAAATAACTGGTTTTAACCTCCTGACAAAGAGAATTACGTTAGATAAGCGAAACGAAATTTACAAAACGCAAAACATGTCAATATTTTTTCCATTAATTTTTAACATAACTTTCTCTTTAATATATTTAATTTAAAGTTTTATTTCTAATCTCTCAAGAAGAAAATTAATTGTTAGAAATTAACAAAAAACTTGTCAGAGAAATGCTTTCTTATTCAACTGCCCTTAAAAAAATTCCTTACTAACAAAATTTTTTTAATTTTCCAGGTTTTTTAATAATAAAACGTAAATTTAAAAACAGGTAGTAAATTCAAAAATAAATAATAAGATTTTCAAGAAGATTCCTATGCTAAAGAAATATCGCGCAAAGGAGTTGCAGAGAAAGGGGAGATTCGTTCGGCGGCACGTCTTCCTGCATCATCGTCAGATTAGGCCAAATCTACGCGAAAGACGTCGGTTCTCCATCACGGCGGTTCGCCATTAGCCGTCGGGCTACGAAACTCAAGCAGGAAACGTTTGCCGGGGAAAATTGGTAATCATAGACCACCGCGAGCGGCATTAAAGTTCGGGGGTGGGCGGGTAGCGGGATCTTCAAAGAGAGTGCACTTAGATAATGCCGGTCCGGAGGAGGCGGCGGGGTACCAACCCTCCTCTCCCCCGATGCCGATATCGAGGGGGCTTTTGATGAAGGCTGCGAATTTGGTTGAGTAAAGGGTAATCCTATCACACGCTATGAGATCTTCCGCTGTCGGAAGGGCACGGCTGCGCGCGCGCTGGCCGTATCGGAAAATCGCGCACCTATTTCAATTTTCGTTGAACGGAAAATCGAGAGGATCGCGGCCGGGATAAACCCCTCGAAAAGTCATCGTAAAAAAAAAGGAATTTCGCGTTAGCTGGTATAGTCGAGATTACGTTATTTCGTTCCATCGTTGAGGATTAACGAGAGCCACTAGTTCGCGCAACGTTAAACTTTCGTCGAATCGGCTTTTGCGTGGAATCGTCGAAAAATGTTGACATTGTGGTGAAATCTCTCTTTCTATGGTCAGATGAGATAATCGTTGTTTCTTTCATTAAGTTCTGCAATTGTTTAAAATATTGATTCAGGACAATGGTTTTAGAAATGGCAGATAATAAATATGGAGGCTGACAAATATATAATAATAAGTGTCAGACTGAGAAATAAATTATCTAATATATTATGAATTTTATCGAATTTAATTATCTCGCAAAAATATATTTAAAATAATATGATATCGTTGTAGATATATTATATAAAAATAGATACGCTACATAAAATTTTGCGAAAAACTACAAGAAGATTCAAGATCAGAGAAAACTTCGTTATTCGCGTGAAAACGCTTCGATTCAAGATGGAAAGCTACAAGAAACGCACGGTGACTTCTCGACTAGTGACTCGAAACCAAGGAAGAGCATTTATTCAAGATGAGGATCAACGGGCCGCGAGCAAGAATCTACCAAAGATTACCACTCGTCGCGTTCTTGCGGGAGGTACAAGAGCACCGAGCCGGAGGACTTCTTAATGAGATTAAGTGCCCCGACGACAAACACTCTCTGGGCTAGATTTACATTTTATACATTTTTAAGCGGTCGTCTTACTACGAATATTCCCTGCTCCGATCTCGCCTTGAATGGCCCTTAAATTCTCTCGGTGCGCGGTTATTTAACCTCGTTCTTCAAATAAACGCACCTTTATATACAGCTTACGTATTTTCTTTTTCCTCCTCTTATTTTTGCTATTGTACTTTCGCTTCTAATAACATCAAGATATAGAAGAAGATAAAAAAGACATAATGTATACATTACTGTCATTTAAAAAAATTAAGGAAGATTTATATCATAGTTTTATAATTGCTAGATGCGAATGTGCATGAGATATTTGTCAATGTATGTATTCAGAATAAAACTTAAATTTGTATAAAAAATACACTCTTTTGAATATATCTCATTATCCTTTGCATCCTTCTAATGTATTCACTAGCTTCTAAATATTGCTCTTTTAAATATTTAAATAATTAAAATGTAAAATCACGTGCTATCTGTTTCTCAGATCGATATATATTCGAAAATTAAAGATTCGGGGTAATCGTACCTCGTCCAAGGGACATCCGGCAGAGACAAGAAGCGTATGGCTGTGCAACAGTAGCAACCTCAGCAATTTATTTCGAACTTCCGCAGCCGGGCTGGGAGGTGGTGGTCTCGATCTGTACACCTGAATCTTCAGGGTTGCCACTGATGTCAATTCGGCCAAAATGTCCCCTACTGTCAGTAACGGGCCATCGGCGACTTTTTCCATCGGTAAGGGTTTCCAGTTTCGTATAACGATGCTGCCTCTAGCGCTCGGTATCAGATCGCTGGAATATCCTAAACGAACGAGAGCCTCGCCCACCAAATCCTATCGGCAGGAGATCAAGATTTTTAGTAATGTTGTTAAATTTATTTTTATATTAATTTAATTAAATCTATGAGAAGTATCTTTCTATTTTTCAAAAAGATATTTATTTTTATATTTATGTTATTAATTCAATATTTCGTTTTTGATATCATGAGCTTTTCATTTTTATCGTAAAGATTTAATTTCTTAAAATATAAAATAAAATTAAAATAAATATCTCGATTTTAATTATAACGATTACCGATAATTATTACGATTAATTAACGAATTATATTATTTATATCAAAATAATGATAGTATTGATATAAAAGAAAATATTCTCACCTGAAAGGGCATGGCTACCGGAATGATAACGTAAGAGTCTGTTTCCACTTGAGGACTCCGCCATTTTTCGCGGCTGTTGCTCACATGACTTTCCACGATATTGTGAATCGTCTCCACCACACAATGCACCGGCAGATTTTTCGCTGTAACAGACAAAGTAATTCACGTGAAGCAACGACAATCCTCTTATTATGAGAAACAATAGAATGATAAATTTATGAGCATAACACATTAACTAACAATTGCGTCATTTTACGAATGTGATTTAGTTACATGTGTGATTTTAATTCCTAATTAAGAACTCTATGATTATTTTTGAAATTTTGATTAAATAAAAGATGTACAGCTTTTCATGTATATAATTATATAAAATTTCATTTAGAAAATTAAATAATTACAATTAATATATTAATGTTTTCTAAATCTTTTATAACTGCTCCATTTCCTTCGCTAGAGAAAGTTTAAAAAAATTTAAGGATTTCTGTCAGAATATTATTATACGAGTCTTGTTAGCAGATGTAATTAATTCGATTCGGAAACCGGGAACCGAAGATATCTTCACGAAAGCTCAGTCTGTGAATGCCTTAAATCGTCTGGTAGCTTCGACTGAAGCACTATTTCTGTACATCCGGCTGACAATAGGTATAGAGTCTTTGGCATTCGGCATCCAAATTTGAGGAGCAGGATGATTCGCGGGGCGCATACTGAAGATCGTCAAGAGAAGAGAGAAAGAGAAAGAGAGAGAGGGAGAGGAGGAGAGAGAGAAGAGTTTAACTCTGGTGCTAAGCATATGCAGATCCACTCGTCTATCCCGAGACAATGGGACCTGCGCGATGGCACAATAGCTGCGATCCTTGTGTAACCCTGACTTAAGTCCGGGAGTCTATCCCACTCCAGATCATAATCCCAGAGTTCTGCGAAACCGAGGAAATGGAGTGCGAGAATGAGAAAGAGAGAGGGATAATAAAAGAAAGAATGAAAAGAAGAAGGAGAGAGAAGGGGAAAGTTTCATACTATTCTCTACTATGCTTATCCGTCGTTAAAGAGCATCGTCAAATTTTCAATAAACAATTTCCATTTATCGAAATGCTTGTACATAATTGCTTTGATCTATAAAAAAAAAAATATTGCATCCGAAAAGTATATCCATAATGAAAAAGGTTGATTGATTCATCGGTAAAGAATAAAGTTAATTTGTCACAATTATTATTATAATATTTTTTAGATGGAGTTTCAACAATAAATTTAAAATTTCGATAATTTCCAACGAGCCTAATAATAATATTGACACTTAATATTACAAATGATTAAACCATTGTAACAATAATTTTACATTTTTAATTTTTGCTAAAAATCAATCCAAAATTTGTTAAAAAAAGATACGATCGCACATCGAGCATAATGAGCTAATCAAACTGCAATATTGGATTGCACCCGGATTGATAAGGTCGAACGTCTCTTGCAAGGCGCTAAGTCCCCGTCAAAGATGACCAACAAAGGATTTACTGCCGGCGCGGCATGATATTAGGTATTAATGGCCAAAACTTCCATCTAATACGCCGGACATCATAGAGCGCCCTACGTTGCATAAGACAGGTCGTATCTGGCCGGGTCCGAAGGCTGACCGGCGTCCACCTTAATCTAGGGACGTATAGTTTTCATTAAGGCGCCCCGTCCTTGCGTCGTCTTTGTACCGGGATCAGCTGGTTTAAGGTGGGCTTTTACGCCGTAGGATTTAATCGCGGGGACACATCGTATTACGCGCTCTGTTTATTACCGACGCGTCGTCGTCTCTACGTGGCTTGACGACACACTCACCCTCGCACATCACGAAAATGTCCATCTATATTTTTTATGAATCCACTTCTATAAATTGAAATAACACATTAATTAATTAAAAATTAATTAATTTTCCATTTCTATTCAGAGATCAAAATTGATTTTTTTCTCGGTAAAATCGATTAAAATTTCTCATCAAAACATAATTAATTAAAAATAATAGATTAATTATCATAGTATTTTTCCACGTCTTTATCGTTTGAATAATATTTAGATTTTACAATTGAACATTGTGTAAAAATGTAAGTTTATCACAGTAAACGGAGAAACGAAGGAGGCAACCACTCATCCACGAAATCTTTAATCTCTGCAGCAAAGACATTTCTCATTTCTGGTGCAGGTCCTATCAGGCTTCCGGTTATCTCCCCGCACGACGGAAGCGTCATGCTACTTCGTCTTTGACAGCTCTCGTCGAAAGATAAGATTCATCCAAAGGGCAACCCTTGAAGAAGCAAAACCAGTTTCTCTCGATGCTCTTTTTCATTTACGACGTTTTCATTTCGCGTTCGCGTTAGCGATTTCTCGTATTGTTAAATCTTCCAACGGTAACATCCATTTAATTTTGATTCGATCTATGTCACATATAATATTCGTTTAAAATTTAATATAAAAAATAAGAGAGTATTAAAGAATAATCGATCATATTTTTGTTAGAGAAAAATCATCTTCAAATTTAATGAACTATAGAGAAGAAATTTAGAATTTAATGATAATATAATAAATAAATTTAAAATTTATGTAAGATTATATAAATTTTACTCTAAATATAAAAATATAAAATTATATGTATATGTAAATTCTATTATTTATATGGGGTTAACTTGATTACAATAAAAACTATGCGAACAAATCATACACAACGTTTTCATCAGCATTAAAATCTAGCTGAGAAATATTAGAAAATATATACAAGAGGGAGATTTTATTATTTTATTTCGAAAGAAAATATAATCTCTGATTAAATATTTGAGAGAACGGGTTAAAAACTCGTTTTCTTCCTTCATGAAATCATCCCTTTTTAAATGCGTCGAGTTCCAGCGTATCCAGCGCGCTCTCTCAACTTCGCAAATGAACGCCCAGTTTTGCACCGAGGCGGTGGTGCAGATACAAGATAAAAAGTTGGAACATATTTTTCGACACCCCGACCATCGCCCATTCCGCATCGCGATAATAGCTGGCGTACGTTCGGCGCGGAAAGCGCGATTCGAAGGGGCCGCGGCCAAAGAACCTCCGTCGAATATTTCTTTCCACGTCTCTTCAACCCTCGTTTCTGCACGCGAAATGATTACCGGCGCGGCCCCGAGATTACCGAGGATCTTTCTAAATCATCGACGGGAAAAACACGCGCCATTTAGATTCATCATCAATGATATTTTCGTCACTGTATCGGTATATTCGAATGCGATTAAGCAGAGCAACGAAGGGAGAAGTAAAGTGAATTTCATTTCTAGATGAATCAAAATGGAGTCGAGCGATTTGAAATAATAAGAAGAAACATCTTTTCATTAAATATTTGGCTATTTTTAACGCTCTAAGTTAAATAAATTAAGTAGAATAAGTTAAGAAAATATTTATATTAATAATAATTGTGTGGCACGAACAGATTAAAAACACCTTAAAAATCCCTAAATTGCAATCAATCGTATAAGTGAATGAAAGAAAACTATGACCCTTTATTTCTAAGGTTTCTCCTTCCTCTTAGTGACTCGATAATCCAAGACGATTAATCATTCGAAAAATCAAGTCAAATCACGAAGCCATGTTTAAATCGCCTGAATAATGCAATTTTTCTCTTATTGATTTGCGGCACCGACTTGCACGCGATTGACTGGAAAAGTCAATTTGTAGAAAATAAATCGGCACGTGGCGTGAAATATTTCCACGTCCAGCTGTGCGTACGGTATTCACGATCCCTGGAAGTCGGCTACTTCCGTCCTCGGAACTTAGCCTAAGCGCTCACCAAAAGGAAAGTGTGGGTGGTTTCCGTATCTGAGGCTGATCCGGCGGATGTCGGTCTTTACAGATAAACGACCGACTCTTTCAAAGTCTTTATCTACGACACCCGTCCACTCTTCCCTCCTCTCATTCCCCTTTCTACTTCCCCTTTCCTCCTGTCTCTTCCCTGTCATTTCTATTTTTCTTCTCGTTAACGAGTTAATTTGTTCGTCCCAGTCATTTAGTTTTTTTTTTTCTTATAATATGTCAATATATACGTTTGAGATTTTACGTCTGTTCAATCAACGTTTGATTAATCTATAAAAAATCGAAAAATACCAATATTCTCGTATTGGTATCGTTTATTTGTAATCGATTAAGAATACCGCGGATACCGGTAGCTTTCCTGGTCGAGTGCATTGGAAGGTCATAAGCTTGCGTGTGATTTAAGCTCTTTCGGTATCGTTAAGCTCACGTCGAAAACATTGGATAAGACATATAATGAGATAACCTTCCAGTTAGTGCAGCTTATAAGATCACCGGCCATGCGACGAAACCTTCTAAATCTAAATGTTAGCCGATTCATAGCGACTTGAACACGCAACATATCTTAATAGCATCTAGAAGTTCTCATCATATTGATAAACTGATGTATCAAAATAAAGCGCGGAGTGCAAGTTGAATAGAAAGAAAGAATTTTCATTTGTTCCGACTGTGATTACAACTTAAATAAAATTATTTTATTTACTATATTATTGTGTGAAATTTAATTTGTCAAAATCTCACGATTTTCTGCTCTCGAAAATTACCGATGTCTTAATATCGATACGTTATTTTGAATTTATAATTGAGAATATGTGAAGTTTAATTGATCAAAATCTCATGATTTTCTGCTCTCGAAAATTACCGATGCCTTAATATTAATACATTATTTCGAATTGTCTTTTATAATTGAGGAAGAGAGAGAAAGAATAATGATAAAAAAATTAATATCTTTATTTCCCGAGATGGATTCGACCGATTTCTTCGCGGACGAGCGATCGTCGAAATCGTCGGTTCGACAGCAAACGTACGAAGGTTGCTCCCTGAAAGCAAGGGTGAAAACTTGCCCTAAGATGCTTAGAGGGTAAGCTCTTATACAACGTGGAGAATAAGAGAGAAGGGTGTAGTTCTCCGATACTTCACCGGTGCGTTCCATGTCTGCGCTCTTTGCACGTGCGTAACGCACGATCGATTCGCGTACACACGCGTCTGTTTCGCGTGTGCGGAAGATTAAAATTACTTCGGTAAACTGCCTCGCGCAGGACGAAAGGGGTGGCGCGAAACGCGGGGCCCCCCCAAAGAGGGCGAACGTCTCGTAAATTTCTCG